AGGGAAAGATCTGGAGTTTCTGAACTAATGATGGAAGGAAAGAAGGAGGAATCGAGTTAGGTTGAGTGCAGAGCAGGCAGTCGTTCCTATTAGGAGAAAAGCCAATGCAGAGAAAGGGGACGAGCTGGACTGACCACCTCCAACTCCCTCCACACAGGTGGGTGAACTCCCTGCAGCCGGCACGAGTGACCCGCTGGGGAGGGATGATCTCCACCCCAGATGCTGTACTCCAGGCTGTAATCAAGCGCTCCCTGGTGGAGAGTGGCTGTCCTGCGTCTATTGTCAACGAGCTGATCGAAAATGCCCATGAGCGTAGCTGGCCCCAGGGTCTGGCCACACTAGAGACAAGACAGATGAACCGGCGTTACTATGAGAACTACGTGGCCAAGCGCATCCCTGGCAAGCAGGCTGTTGTCGTGATGGCCTGTGAGAACCAGCACATGGGTGATGACATGGTGCAGGAGCCAGGGCTTGTCATGATATTTGCGCATGGCGTGGAAGAGATATAGGAGATCTCAATGGGCTATCTGGAAGAGATGAAAATCAGAAAATCCTGTCACTCCAGCAGCGGGGCCCTGAGTCCTCCCCACTTTCCTTAATACCGTGGCTAACGCTAGAGCCACACATCTCCCTGCTCTTCTGCCACTGAAGAGGGCCCCAGGGCACTCTGCTCAGGCTTTCAGGTGGGAAACCCAGATTCCCTCCATTTGCCTAATTTCTTCCCCTAAAATGTCTGTATATTTTCCATCTGGTTGGGAAAGTCCCCACCTCTGTTTCTGTTTTCCTGCCTAGGGTCCTGGTTCCAGATATTTTCAGAAAGCACAAAGATACTCATTTTCTCTAGAGGATCAGGATGGAGTGAGGCATCTCTAACTGTTCCCCTCCTCCAAAACCAGGGAATCCAGAGCAGGCAGGCCTATTGACTCTATAAACAGCATTTAGAGGGCGGCTCTGGGGAGCAGACATCCTAAAGAAATGGTAAGGATGGAACAAAACCCTAGAAATAATGAGGCCAGTAGGCCATCGCTGGTGGCCCTTAGGGGAAGACTGGACCTCTGTGCCAAGCAATACCCTGTTCAGCCCACCTTAAAGGTGTGGGCTCCCGCCGGGTCTGCAGGTGTGCAGGTGGGGATGCCGAAAATTTCCAGATGAGCTCTTCTTTCCTACACTTTCTCACAATTAGGGAATGACAGGGTTGGGGTGAGGGGTTAGTCCATTGGGGTGTATATGCTCAG